TATGTCCTGCTTTCATAAAGAATCACACTGATGGCTATGGTTACACCTGAAGACAAGAAAAGTCATCTTGTCATATGTCTTCAACATGCACATAAGAGAGATCATGGATTGATGCTTTGTTGTTGAATATGAGTGCAATACCTCTTTAATTACAAAGTGCAATGCTTACGTGAGGTTAAATTTGAAGTTGAACTGCCATGTTGACGTTCCTGGTGGGTATTCGCCCTCTTCGTTCATAAATGTAAGGCCAAGCTGGATGATCTTCAACAAGTCAACATTACACCGCAGCAGCTGATACTGGTAATCTGCATTGCTTCTAAATTCTCCGATTGGTCTTGCAACAACACCTGGAAACTCTGTGTCCTACAAATGCAACAAAACACATTATGAGTGTTATGGTTACTTGTATATTTATAGTGCATGATCAAAAAAAAGGGCCAGAAAATATATGACGTTTGGGCATATCGGACAATTCTTTTTTTTTTTTTTTTTTTTTTTTTTTTTAATCATCATTATTATCATTAGTTTTTGTAATTTTAGTACTTCAATTTTTTTCAGTTAGTTGCCAAAGAAACATTTTTAATTTTCGTAAGTATTTTAAGTTTTAAGCACTAAGGTTTTTCCATCTAATATTTATATTTTATTTTGTTTAAACTTTTTTTCAATTGCCGAAAATTATATGAAACTGTTAGATTGGATTTCAATTTTTTTTTTTCATTTATGAAGCGATGTGACTAATGTCATTCCCAAAGAGCAGCTTTATCTGAGTTCAATCATGTTGCTCAAATCGTTCATTGTGTATTGAATAATTAATTAATGAACGAGCAAACAAACAATTGGTTTTGGCACTTTTTACTTTTTTTGTTGTCTGATGCACCTCATGAGTTAAAATGTCCAGTTTGTGCCATATTAAAAAGAAATGGTAACCTAAAAATGATAATATCTAAAATAAATTAACTGGTTTTGTTCAAGTCAAAAATGTTATTTAATATTGCTGAATCAACCTAAACAAACTAAATAAATTGTATTGGTTTAATCAAGTAAAAAACTATGAAAGCTTGTTTCCGCCACTGAATAAACAATAAAAAAGGTAATTGTGGCTTTTTTCTCACAATTCTGACTTTTTGCTCACAATTGCGAGTTTATATCTCGCAATTCTGACCTTTTTTCGTTATATTGCGTGATATAAATGTACAATTGTGCCTTTTCTCAGAATTACATGATATAAACTCACAATTTTTCCTTTTTTCTCAGAATTGAGTGATATAAACAATTTGGACTTTTTTTCTCAGAATTGCCCGATATAAACTCACAATTTTGAGTAATATAAACTCACAATTCCGTGTTATGAAGTCAAAATCGCTAGATATAAACACGCAATTGCGAGAAAAGGTCAGAATTCTCACAATTCTGACTGTATTTCTCGCAATTTTGAGTTGATATCTCACAATTCTGCTAAAAAATGTCAGAACTGTGCGATAAAAAGTAGCAATTAACTTTTACATTTTTTTATTCCGTGGCAAAACAAGCTTCCAAAAAACAGCTCTCTAAGGTAACAATTGCAGGTTACCACTTTTTACACTACATCCTCTCTTTTCACAATGACATTGACTCTCGCACGTCTCTGGCACTCTTGAGTGTCGCACGGCTGACACTCAAGTCATTACTATGGCAACTGATGTAGACATACAAGATATTAACTGCACTGTCTCAACATATGGATCTGATTTCATAACTTGCAAATTGAAAGGGCAGACGGTCAGTCCTAGATCACATTTGAAAAACGAAACTGGATTGATTTAAATAAAACTTTAATGCTTCAAACTCACCATTGCGACATAGCTGAATTTTAGAGTCACCTGTCGGATCCTCTTCATCTCCTCATCCAGGTTGCTGGCCCAAACCTCACATATTCTTTGGCTATGATCCACAGTGGCTGCGGGCATAGTTCCACTCTCAGGTTCACGGCATCAAAACCCAAAAAAAACACTCCCCAGGGGATATATTCATGAAATAATAGTCGCTTGTTGCCTCTTTTTACCTAAAAAAAACAAAACAATCAGACAATCAGGACATTTGATATCAAATCACTTTATTGTCACTACATCATAAACAAGAAGGTAATAGATAGTGATAGTGTATAAAATAAACAATATGCAAATATGCACACACAGTATAAACAGACAGAGTAACTTGAGACAATTAAAAATGTTCTACTGAAAACGAATGCACAAAAAACTCAGCTCACATTGCAGAGTAAATGGTAGAAAATATTTCAAAATTCAAACAGCAAATATATATAACATCACCATACAAACCTCTCCTGACCAATTAAAAATGAGCATGTTGTAATCAAAGCATGACCTAATTGTTCCCTTTACTTGTACCTAATTGTATTTTCTGCAATGGTCAATAACTAGGCTACAGGTTTGTATACATTTTCAAACTAATATCCACGGTATGTGTCTGTGGATTTTGTCATGCCCTGGGTGATTCACTTTGGTAAATCATTAGTCATGAGTTTGTTTACTGACTTCAAACTAGATGTTAGGTGAGTGTATCCTCCTTATCCCCAACAGCATTATGAGGATTATAAACAGAGGGAGACTTTCTGCAATTACTTCACATGCTTCACTTTAGACTTTACTTGGTAAACATGACTACTCATCTACTATTCTTGCTTCATGACAACACTGAACGGATAATTATTCAGACATACTCATATCACTCAAAAAAAAAAAAAAACCCCCGTTGTAATGAGCCTAAACATTACAACAAGTGCCAGATGAGTCAAAACGGTCGCAGACTAACAGGAGCAGCATTCACTTCAATATGCCAACAAAACCAGTAGGAAGCTTGTTCGTGTGGCAGAAAATGCTTTTGAACATACATGCACATTAAAGTGCCTTTATAACCCATCATCTGTTGCTTTATATGTCCTTAAACTATCAAGTCAGTTGTTGTAAGTTGACAGGTTAGCAGCACCAGCTAGCACAACATCTGCTAAACAACTAAACAACCCCGCAAACGTCCTGAAATCATATCTACAGTCAGCTTTTGGAGGTTTGTGTAAATAATCTTTCTTTGTAAGATGTGAATGATGCTGTTTCGTGTCGGGGTGAGTGTTTATTTGTGTATGTGGCTAGCACGTTAGCTATTAGCCTAGCCACAAAAGTTTGTCCTGATATTATGATCAAAGTTCACTTTTTCTGTCAGGACTTACCTTTCCTCAAACAAGGTAGTTACACTTAAAGCGTATACTGCTTCAGTAATACACAATCACCTTGTTTAGAAAGGACTGGGACCTTGCTCTATACTTTTATATAGTTTTATTGGGCTAACCGATATCAACAACCAGCTGCCACCTCTGAAACTACATCACAGCGCTTCGGTGTGACGTCACGACAAGACGACGCGTGACCTTTGAACTCCTTGTGGGGTTTTACATTTGTATTATGTACATTCGTATATGGACATTTTCAAAGAAATAGCTCTTTTAAAGGTTGAATTCTTTAAATAACTATATATTTTTTGTAAGAATCTTCAATGGTTAGAGAGGGGTGGTTGATTATGATTTCACTTTAGATTTCACTCAACTTTAGTTAGTGTGTAATGTTGCTGTTTGAGCATAAACCATCTGCAAAGTTATAACGCTCAAAGTTCAAAGAAAAGGGAGATATTTTATAAAAAGAAATTGCTTTTTAAGGACTACAACAAACCGCTGGTAGGGACTACACAACATTCCTCCAGGGTTAGTGACATCACTAACCCAAAAAATTACATAAACCCCGCCCCCCGGAACACGATTGATAGATTATCAAGACATAATATGCCAATTAATGACAGAATGAGTCTTTCCATCTTTGTCTGACTCCGGTTTGAACATAAAAGGCTAAAAGTTTTTGAAATTGTCAGTGCATGTCTGTGTGAGTGCAAGCTGTTGAAGCTCCGTCCTCTGTGCCTGGAGAAGTAGCTCATTGCATTGCACAAAAACGGTGCGTTTTTACATGAAAGTTTTAACATGCTATAAAAATATCTATGGGGTATTTTGAGCTAAAACTTCACATACACACTCTGGGGACATCAAAGACTTATTTTACATCTTGTGAAAAGGGCATTATACCACCGCTTTAAAAATTAACACTTTATCATCTTTTACTCACCCTCAAGTGTTAAACCAGACAGTTAATGTAGCCATTGAATTCCATAGTAATATTTTTCTTATTATGCAAGTCAATGGCTACCGTCAACTGTTTGGTTACAAACATTCTTCAAAATATCTTCTTTTCTGTTGAACAGAAGAAAGAAACTCATACAGGTTTGGAACAACTTGAGGGTAAGTAATGAGAAAATTTTCATTTAGGGTGAACTAAGGTTTTAGTTCTTTTCAGAATTTCATGTATTGTAGTAGGCTATTCCTCTTAGAATATTTTAGAATAGAATATATCTTGGACAAAAAATCTTTATATTTTATTTGCTTGTAAATGTTGTAATCTTTCTTGCAATAAAAATAACTCTAAGGAATAAACACATTGGTTTCAGTTAAGCGAAACTTTTTAAGTAAAATAATATTCATTTAGTGGATATATATATATATGTGTGTGTGTGTGTATAAATAAATCACCTGTTGTTTTGAGACCAAAAAAAATAAAATAAAAATTACACACCTTGTGACAAAGACTTGAAAATAGGTGAGCAAATTTTCAATATGGATCTAAACTGACCAAAATATTGTCTCCATTCTTCAAAATTATTTGCAGTAACATTAATTTCTTAAATTACCAAAAGTATGATGTAATAAATATCACATCATGTAACAAGTATTTATTTTTTTAAAAATCTGCATTTAATACAACCTATCTTATTTGGTATGGTTTCTTTTGATTCTTTAAATTTGTTTTCAAACATTTGCCAGGCCTGAGCACTTAAAGATATGATCATATTAATTTCACAACAAACTGAAGTTTAATGTATGTATTCACGTTAATCAAGTGCAAAAAATGAAAATGAGATCATTTATCGTTTATGTATTTAATGTTTTGAAAGATTTCATGCCAATGAGAAATTATAAATATATACTAGAATAAAACATCACTCTTTACATTGTACAGCCATAATACACTTTCAGACAGAAAGACATGCTTCTGTAGTGCCACACACATGAGACATGTCCACAATGTCCAAGATCTTTGCATAATTTGAAATGCCCACACTCTTATCTTGATCACATACTTAGATGCTACAGCTTTCTCATTTTGCAAACTGTCGCATTTGTTCATGCTCTGTTGGGGCCAGTCTCATCTGAGTCAGGATCCTTCACACTGTCCTCACTTGGCAAGGACTCTTCACCAGAAGAATGGGAGCTGAAATCCGCCACTCCTGACTCCTGGTCACTATTGTCAGCATCAGAGCATTTTGGTTTGTCTCCAAACAGGTTAAGCTCTGCGCTCTCTCTCTCTCCTTGTTGTAAGGTGAAAACATTGGGAGCAGCACCTATAAAGCCACCAATGTAATCCTGAGGAGTATTGACCAGGCTTGCATCTAAAGGTAAAGACCAAAGCGTCTGTTGTTTGCCGTCCAACAGACCCTTCTGCATGTAAAGCGTTTTTGCACGCTCCTTACCCAGAACAGCCAGTTTCTGCAAAGGTAATATATTTGATCACTAAAGTTAAAATGGCAAACATTGTGTGAATAAAAATTCTGCATTTGTAGAACATGCATATTAAGTAAACAACATGGTCTTTGAACAATTTTATTGTAATTCATAAGAGATTCGAGATAAAATGATAAAAACTAATATGGCAAATATCTGATGTTGTACCTGCTCATAGACAGCCAGTTCTTCCTCAAGTTGCTGTGTTTCCTCTTTTATAGTCATCAAACAATCCAGCTCAGACTGACGTGGGTGCAACTCACGATCAAATCGATTATACAGCCTTCTCCAGTATCTAAACAGAAAAGACAAACCATTTTTGCTGTTAAACAAACAAATAGCATATATCTTTTAACAATTTCTTCTGTGTTTAAAATGTATAAATGCTTAGGACTAAAGAAAAAAAACTGCGTGAGAAAGAGAATCAAGAAAGGGAAAATATGTATTGTCAGGTCAAAATAGTGAGACAAAGCCTATACATACAGGGAAAAAACTGTTAACTAATCTGACATACTTAAAACAGAAGGGGGCAGTACTGGGCCTTAGAAGTCCCTGATCGGGTTTATACAGAGGGTTCATGAAGTCCAGTTTGTTCTCCCATAAATTAGGCCATATGGAATGGGTTTTCTCTTTGATGCTACAGAAAGAAAGAAAAAAAACATGCAGAAAATTTTGACATCTACTATACCCCAAATTTTAACAACAAAATCAAGTTTTTCATTCATGTCTCAAATACACAGGGCAATTACCAAAGATCTCTCCTCTCCTTCTGGCTGTTACAAATGAAGTTGCCATAGTGACAGGAGTAAACGTGGTTGTGGATGCTGATTAGAAACTTCTCATTGTACTCAAAAGAACAGGGAAACTGATCCATAAACTGCCGTACACATTCCAGGAACTGGTCTATAACAGGTGACACTTCCTTGGCTTCTCCATCTAGATGACCGCATCTGAAACGCCATGAAGTAAATTACATTTAGAATGAGCAATCGCATCTAGTACATCAGAAAACCTGAGTGAATTTTAAGATGAAGTCCAACCTGTGTGAAAACTTGTGTCCAAATGAAACCCAGTCTTTCTCAATCAGCACCTACACAAAAAAACAGGGTTTTACTTACACTATTGTTAAAAATTGGGGTCAGTCAGACTTTGTTTTAAAGAAATTAATACTTGTATTGAGCAAGGAAACATTAAACTGATCAAAAGTGACCGTAAACTCATTAATAATGTTACAAAAGATTTGACATTTTTGAACTTTCCATACATTAAAGAATATTGAGCCATATTAGGTTTCCACAAAAACATTAAGCAGCAACTGTTTTCAACAGTGATAATAAGAAATGTTTCTTGAGCACCAAATCAGCACATTAGAATGATTTCTGAAGGATCATATGACACTGAAGACTGGAGTAATAATGCTGAAAATTCAGCTTTGCCATCATGGTTAAATTTTTAATATATATTAAAATGGAAAACAATTATTTTAATTTGCAATATTTCAATATTTTACTGTATGTTTGATGCAGTCTTGGTGAGCATAAGCAAAAACATTCAAAAACATTAAGAAATCTTGCAGTGGTAGTGTACTTGACAACAGTTTAAAGGTAAAATGTCAATTTCCGATGTTAAAAGTCTTTATATCCCAGTTTCATAAGCAGAGACAACTATAAGTAATTTATAAACTGACTTCTTCAAAAAGTGCCTACACTGTAGCGCTAGCAGAACATTGATCTATTTGTTTAAGCGTTCTGACCATCTTGTTTAGCTGATCAATAAAAGGCAGAGGAACAGCATGTGAAACCTGTTTGAAAACATGCAGTATTTTTGCAATTCCGTTTGATGGTGCTTGTGCGTCTGCACAGACTTACTGCTAGTGTATCAGGAAATGAGATGGTATTCCCAGACAGACTTAATCTGTGCTAGAAATTATGTTTTTCTTTTTATATTGACCCCATATGAAGGTAAATTTCTAAGTAAGAGATGAATCTCTAAACTGAGGTCTGCTATTGAATGAAACCTCTCCAGCAGAGATCCAGCTTGACTCGATCCTTGTGATTAAATGAGCGAAACTCATGGGCAGCCTGTCAGTTATGCATCTTCTTACACTGTGAACTCAGTGACTTGAATGAAAAATGTACATGCTGCCGTTTACCATGAGTCCCTTGAGAGTCCTGTAGTAGGGGTCCAGAAGCACACTGGCCACAGAGCAAACCTGAGCCGTCCTATCCCAGCCATCAGAGCAATGAACCAGGACACTGACCCCTTCCTCTGCCACGGCCTGTGTGCATGTCACGTAAGAACATGAAATCAGTACCGGAGCAAGAGCTCATGCATGGGCTGACTCTCAAAAAGATCTTTTACTTTAGATATGAAGATTCCAGCTTCCATGATCGATTTGATGTGTCTTAACCAGTCTGAATTTTCAAGCCCCAAGAGAAATTCTCTCATGGTGGGAGAACGCAGTGCTGAAACTACAAAAAAAAGACACTTTGAGAAGATCCAGACAAATTCACTACTAAAGTTTATATACGATCCTGTGAAAAGACGATGATGAAAACCAGGAGCTTTATTGACAATTTACAGTAGGGAAATTATATGAGGAATTTTAAAGTGCTCAATATTTACTTTGGCTTTGCAAAGAAAGCTAGTGACTAACAAAAGTGTCCTCTGTGAGTGTCCTCTTTATTTTTGTTACTTGAAATATGCACTGCTGATAAATTGACTTGACAGTTCTGTCTTATGGCTCATTAGTTATTATGACAACCAAATAAATTTGTATTTCTATAAGTGGCATTGATTCTTTTTCTCCAAACCAACATAAACATTCCCTGTGAGCACTGTAAGCTTTGATATGTCAACGGTTCAAATGTGATAAGACTATTTAAGGGCTGGTGACGTCCCATGAGAACACTCCAGATGACAGCTGCTGAAGCCAAAATACTGACAAACCCGCTCACTCTTGGTGGCAGAGACCAAACTGACTGTATATCTAGGAAGAATCAAGCATGCTGTAATGAGATCTCAAACAGTCTCTGCTGGAAGCCTACAAGATTATTCGACCAGATGACTCCCTAATGTTTTACGGGTCAAAAAGCTATCACACCAAGTGCCGCTATTATTTCTTCAACACTAGAAGATATCATTCTCACGCCCTCCTTTTCTCAATCAGGGGAAAAAGGTCCCCAATCGTCAAGTCAACAAAACAAAAATAGGCGAGGAATAAAAGCCAGATGGATTCAAAGCACCCCTACTACACTATCTGCTTTGCCAAGAAACTCTCCTGTGGTACAATCTACAGCTTCATTGCAGAACATCTTTATTATAGATGATAAAACGCTAAGTGGTCTTAAGATCTCCCATAAAATTGAAGGGGAGCTGTGATATACTGGTTCAAGCTGGTTCAAAAGAAGGATCTTTGGATCTAACACACTGGTTATTATGGGTCAATTCATTTTCTCACGTAATAAGATATAATACCCTCTATGAGTTTCTGCAGACTGTTCCTCATCACATGGATGTTTTCAATGCCGATGAACTGGAATTTAATGTTGCAGTAGTTGTCCTCATTTTCGTAGCCTTTGCCCGCAGCTCGGTTTGCCATTGCGTTTAGCTGGAAATACATGAGATTCTCACATACAGTGTCTTTCATGTGTAATTCTGATTTTGGGTCCATCGTATACTGATATTAAGTGGACTGACCTTGGGTCTGGTGTCCACAACATACATGAATCTGCTGCCAGGATTAGACTTCATGATGGCCTGCAGCATTTGCTCATCTTCCAGGCAGCGAGCACTGAAGCCAGAAAGAGGCTGACTGCTGCGACATATTGTGGCCTAAAGAAAAGACAGCATGTGAGTTGGTGTTTGCATATGTTGGCATCCTGCGGTGTCAAGATAAGACATGACCAAAAAACTACTCATTAGTTCTTTATATTAGTGTAGGACAAGACTAGGTGGTTCAGTGTTTATTTTAGTGTGCAAAATGGCTTAAATAAACCAATAAAAATATTCACATAAATAAATACATACATGAAAATATATTTTAATATTAGTAGTATGTATACAAATACATAATTAAATGTAATTAATTAAAAAATAGATTCCATAAACTAGTCTAGTAAAAATGCAACTATCATCTGACCTCAAAGTAATTCCCAGCTTGATTCTTTTATGCTCAATATATAAATTCAGCTTGAAGAACAAAGGGAAAGGTATAGAAGCTTGTTTCCACCATGGAATACAAAAAAAGAGAGGAAAAAAAGGTAATTGCGATTTTTATCTCACAATTCAGACTTTTTTTCTCACAATAGCGAGTTTACATTTTGCAATTCATATTTTTTTCTCACAATTGCGACATATGATGCAATTCTGAGAAAAAAATATGAATTGCAAAATGAGAAAAAAAGACAGAGAAAAAAAAAGACAGAATTGCGAGATATAAACTCGCAATTTCAAGAAAAATGCCAGAATTGCGAGTTTATATCAATTCGCAATTTTACTTCTATTCTCAGAATTGTGAGATATAAATTCGCTATTACGAGTTATAAAGTCCAACTCTGAGGGAAAAAAGACTGACTTTTTTTCTCAGATTTACGAGTTTATATCTCACAATTCGGACTTTATATATATATATATATATATATATATAATTTCTTTATATATAATTCTGAGAAAATAATTACATTGAAATGTAAACTTGCAATTGTGAGAAGAAAGTCAGAATTGTGAGATGAAAAAAAAAACATTATTCTGTGGCGGAAACAAACTTCCATAGAAAGGGGACCCGGGCTAAAAAAAAGCAATATATTATTTTATTAAAATGTATAAATTTATACATTTCAATTTGGATAATTTTAAAATCAAAATTATATTTTAATACTTTAAATAAAGCTATCGTACGGCCTCAGAGTAATTCCCAGCCTGATAATTTCAAGATTGATTACTAAATGAAACTTAAAGAACAGAAGATCACAATGTTCTCTCAGTGGAATGGGTATTTCATGAGAATTTGGCCCTGGCTTCATAAAACTCTGAGCTTGCAATATTACATTTTTAGACACTGTTCTAATCATATTTTGGGGTTAACGAGCCATGAACGGGGGATATTAAACTGCAACTGACCCCTTAGGGCCTCAAAATTATGATCCTTATGTGGAGGTCACAAGCTTCTCCATGTGGTTTGAATTCATGTGTCCAAAAGAAAACACAGAGAATCCAAGGGGAATATTTGACCTCAATGAAATGTCTTTTAACAGAGTGCCGAACCCAAGAGGGTGCAGATGGCGCTTGACCATGCTTTTAAAATATCCATTATATTGTAATTCAAAAAACAAAACAAGCACTTTCTTTGTAAAAAAAAAATCATACCAAGCTGGAGTTTGATGCTAAAACAAGCTGCATCACATTTATGGTTCTTCTTGAGGGTTTTTTTATATACCGAGCACTCAAGTCTCAAGAATACTATGTTCTTGAACCTTGAACTCACATCCTCAGTCTGATGACAAAGTATTTGGCAGGCAAGGACATATGAAAGAAAGGATCAAATTATCCATAGCTTCATTAAAAGAGATGATGATGAGAGAGAATGTGCCAGATGGAGGCAGACTTACATGATTTTCCTTGCAGTAGTATGACAACGTGGGAAATCGACCTCTGCTACGAAACTTAGAGCTCCCTACGATGACAGGGAGGGTGACGGATTTAGGCACAAACAAGTCAGATGGGTAAGTATCACACACCTGTGTCACAAAAAGAAAAGTTATAAAAAAAAACTAAACAATATACTGATTGTGTTTACATAGTGCTGGTGGAGTGCTGGACTAACTCTGTACTCTCGGTTGATGGGGGTGACATGCCACTGCTTATTTGGAAGTCCCATTCGACTGTATTCAGCCTTCATATCTAAAAAGTCCCATGAATGCTCCCGTTCAGCTTTGTCAGCATTAGGATTGAAGGAAAAGCAATACAACTCTTCATATTTTTCTGCAAGACAAGGGGAAAACAACATGACAAAATGTCCTTGTATACTGAAATATAGAAAAGTGTATTGAAGAACTATAATTTGTTTTGCACATTATGACCCGGTTTTACAAACAGGGCTTTGGATTAAGCCAGGATTAGGCCTTAGTTCAATTAAATGTGCCTTAGGAAAACATTACTGGTGTGCATCTTGAGACAAAACAATGGCAGTGACATTTTCTAAGATATTTAAATTGCAAGTTGCTTTCAGTTGAACCAGCTCAAACATGTATTTTAGTCTGGGACTAGGCTTAAGCCTTGTCTGTGAAACCGGGGGTATATTAAACATACAAATGCTGATTTGTCTGCAACAATATTTCAATAACAAGTTGTGTCCCAAATGCACTTATACCAGGGGTGTCCAAACTCGGTCCTGTAGAGTTTAGCTCACCCTTGCTTCAACACACCTGACTTGGAAGTTTCTAGTATGCCTAGTAAGACCTTGATTATCTAGTTCAGGTGTTTATTTTGGGTTGAAGCTAAACTCTGCAGGACAACGGCACTCCAGGACCGACGTTGCCTATGCATGCACTAAGTACTCAACCGTGTAGTGCGGGGCTGGGCAACTCTGGCACCCGAGTTTTCCTGCATAGTTTATCTCCAACCCCAACCAAAAACACCTGCACCAGCTAATCAAAGTCTTCAGGATTACTAAAAAGCTACATTCAGGTGAGTTTGAATAAGGTTAGAGCTAAACTCTGCAGGAAAATGGATCTTGAGGGCCAGAGTTGTCCAGCCCTGGTGCAGAGTATGAATTTTAAAAGGTTATTTTGTAATCCAGTATCAGAGTCTGACAGCCGTTCCCCCTCCGGTACATAAGGAAAGTTGCAGCAGTTGAGTGCCTGAAGTGTCCAACATTCCACACTTTGTTTTTCCGGTTAAGTAAGTGCATCATCCGGGACTTTTTCTTTTAAGAATATTCAGTGTGAACGCACTACGCACACTACAAAATGATATGGAATAGTGCACTGACTCGTATGTGAAATGGAATACACCGACATTATATTCTTAAAATGTATGCAAAGTGACCCACCTGGTCTAGACAGACGTGAAAGTGAAATGTAAACATCATGGCAGTCGCTCTCTTGAGGAATAATAAACTGTATGACCTGAAAGTTCTTGCAGTGGATTAATAAAGGGTATCCACTCTGAGATGCTTTATGCTTTACAACATTACACACTAAACTGTGCAGAACCTGTGAAAAACAAGCATACTGTGTCAGTTATTGTACTTAGAAGATGGGTTAAGAAAGCAGTACATTTTTAGAGCACAGAAATACTTGACAATGGTGATAAACCGCAAATATCAATGGCATACATTTGACATGGCAAGCACTTACCCACAGCTCATTTCTGTTCTCAGATCCTTTACCTACAAAGATAGTGTGTGTGGCTGTCAGGTAGAGCGTGCCCACTTGAGTTCTTCGAGAGGAACTTCTATCCACTAACCAGACATTTTCAACCTGCAATATATTACCAAGTTAATTAGACCAGGGGTTTTTCGATGCCACATACCCCCATATATGATCATCCTCATTTGAGGAACTCCCATCCTAAAATATAAAAAATCATCTATTTTTTTATAAATGGTCAATTTATACACAGTAGAAATTAATTTTAAATCTATAATATTTATTTTCCAAAGTTACATTATTATTATTATTTTGTACTCACTATAGTAATCCACTGATAAATGTATTTATTTGCTTATTTAATTTTGATTTATAATAATGAGAATTCTTAATATATTTAATAGATTAATACCTAACTAATTAATCCCTAATCACATCCGGGACCCCAATTTGAAAACCTCTGAATTAGACAACATTAGTATTAGTGATGATGCTGCACTATAAAGTACCATAACACAAACATATTAGTGAGCATCCCTCTGCCCTGTGGTGATGCTGTGTTTAAATCATCTGCGATCAATTGGCACACAATAGCAAAACTCATTCCTAATGTGAATATGGCTTTTCAGTAATTTCCTTTAAATTATAAGTGATCAGATGTAGGCCTTTACTTTTTTCCCTCCTTTAGCATCTCAGTGACTGTGCGGAGTTCATTGATTCCAATAAATGAATCAATTTTTTACAAGTATAAAACCTCAAATTCCAAATGACGGCAGCTCCAATGCGTGGAGATGTGTGGTTGATGGCATGTAAAGGGACTCATTGTATCATGGATGCTGGACATTTACCTTTGGCATTTTGATGTGCTCCATCTCTGACCACCACACCTCTGGCGCGTGCAGCTTATCGGGGTACAGAAATACTTCTTAGTGTCATGCTGAACGAGTGTTATTGTGTTAATTTAAACACAATAATATTTCAAGTATTGTTATAAACGCTGCGCTTCTTTGAATCCGGGTTGATAGGGATATGGCTCCTCTCGTCATCTGTAGTGATTCACCGTCAGGTCTCTGCGCCGCTGCGGTCAATGCGTGGCCCGCTGCGAGGTCCTAAAGCCCGCTCCAAACACGTTTCATCGTGATTTTAGCTAAGAAAATATGTAATCATCATCGGTATGGTTTATATCTGTACGCTAAAAGTATTAGGGTATTCGTGTGAGTATATAGAGGATGTATGTCATTTTCTTAATTTTATGCAATCATGTTTAATTCCAGAGGTGATGTTTGAAATCCAGGATAAAATAAAAGCCGACCATTTCCATTGTAGTTGGCCAGGAAGACAGAGACAACTTGACTTGTATGTGGGGCATGTTGACACACTATAGTTGCACAAAATAGGTTTTCAAGTCTCTGTTTCTAATCCGAAAACATTATGTTAGAATTAATTAAAGAAATACCTGGTGGATGGGAGTATCAGGTAGGGGGTGCTTTTAAAGTCACCATGAAATCAAAATTGATATTTTCAATTTTTTTAATGGAATATTGCAGTAATTATTATAAATTATAAATAAACGATCTATGCACATTAGTATTTTTATTTAACTCATGTGCCCTTGCAATCTAATTCCTCTCTTTCTCTCTTGCAGATATTTACTGGCAGGAGGGCGGGACAACCTGTCACTCACATGGCATCACAGCAATAGCAAACCACAACCATCCAGCGATCCAACCAATGGGCTATATGCACGCATAAGTTCCGCGTTTGACGCAAGGATGCTCTTGCGTTTCCGGTTGGGGAGATCTAAAGCGGAGGAAAACCGAGGAAAACGGGATTATGGCAGAGTCTTCAAAATTAACTGTCCTCTCGTCTTTGAAACGAAACTTTAATACGTTTAGATGTAATTTTATATATAGTTATGTTTATTTAATATAATAAACAAAGAAGCATAAACAAAATGAGGGGTGTCTGTTTTGTCTGTTTTTGTGACTAACGTTTCTTTAGTATAGCAATAGAGTATAAAAACCAATATAAATTTTCGGAATAGCATTGGACTCTACGATCAGCGGAAGTAATCCAGCATCCTTAGACCTTCACCGGAAATACCGCCGTGCATAGAGCCCATTCCCCATGGACAAAATCAAGTCAACTTCGTAACACAAAAATTAACTGTTTGTTGAAATCTAGGGTGCGTTCACATCTGTAGTCCGGTTCATTTGGTCCTGATCAAGGGCGAAAAATGATAACCTACTTTGTAGCATTTTTCAGGCGTTTTGGATCCTTTTCACACCACACTGATTGCTCTGGTCCGAATCAGTTGATGAGTTAATGAAACAAACCAAAAGGCAGTCATGTGACAACATCCACATCACTCATTGGCCAGATGTGTCTTGAACGTATTTCCATAACTCCACTTCGATTGGTCAGAATTAACGCGCGGGAAAACTCCACAGATCTATGAAACCCCCTTTCCCTGAGCTGTTTGCTAAACAAAGCGAAGATTTCGCTGTTCTTCGAGTTTTTGAAAGTTGGGACCTAATATGGTCATCAGACCAAATTTCTATGAGGCTCTGCACCTCCTCACAACTCCAAGTTTGTCCGTGCAAACTGTCAACAAACATTAGTCCTCATCCCATAATGCACAGCGCAGCTGACTACGACAGCTGGTTTAGTCCAAAAATGTGCAGTTCTTTGGCAGTTGGGTCTGTTCGAGGTCGGATCACATTCTCACCACAAACGATTGCTGCGTTCACACCGGCCCAAACGAACCACACCAAGGGGGACAACGAACTCTAGTGCGATTCAACCGAACTGAATGTGGCAGGTGTTAAAGCTATCCCTCCATTGACATACGCAACTACCACTTTGACGCTTCAAAAAGTTCATAAAGAGATCGTAAAACTAATCCATATGAATTAAACAGTTTAGTCCAAATTTTCTGAAGAGACTCAATCGATTTATATGATGAACAGATTTTATTCAGGGGCAAAAAGCTCTCAGGTTTCATCAAAAACATCTTCATTTGCGTTCCGAAGATGAACGAAAGTCTTATGGGTTTGGAACGTTTGTAAGTACATTTTTGAGTGAACTAACTCTTTAAGTTTTAGTACATTTTAAGCACAATATTGCCAGCTACTTTGTCTGTTTTTGAGTTTAGTAAATGACTCATTGATATGTTAACATGCAGCCAAACAAACCGTTTGGATTGATGGCTCAATCATATACTGAAAAGCCTTCATGTAAACACCTCAATCAGTCTGAATGAGCTCGATCCAAATGATAATTTGATCAGACTGGAAGGGGTCATGTGAAATAATCTGATCAATTGGATCTGATCATGCAAACGCTAAAATCAGTCTATTTTCTCAATGGGATTCAAAAATATCTTGCGCAGATTCACAGTGCCGTGATGCATATGTTTAGGCTACATATGTTTTACGTCTTACGAACATAACATACTTATATTTATTTATGTATTGGTCAGTAGAGGACATTGAATATTTACTAAATATTTGCAAAAAAGCTCTTATGACATAAATGACAATTAACCAGGATCAAATAGTATGTAGGTAATTAACCATACGTTTAGATGATTACTTTTTTTTTATGAGTGATTTTATGACAGTAGTAAAATGATGATTAATTATAAAGAAAATTGAATTGATAACCATGGCCCACATACTGTCTTCTTGGCTTTTGCCCTAATGAATCTAATTTTACCAGTTGATAATTTCCCCCCTAAACTCTTGTTCATTTAGTTAACAAATTAAGTTTACAGATAACTATCTTTCATTCTTAAAAACACTCTCCATTCTGCCTGTCCTTCACTAACTCTCTCCCCCATCTCTCTACACAAAATACATATTGACACTGCTGTGACGTCATATGAATCTTTGAGTTAATCAGTGAGCCTTTTTAGACAGTTGATTGTGCAGTTTTGTTCAGTATAAACAGCATTAATGTTGAGGGGAAGATAGTGTGAAGGACTTTGATTTGCCAATTGACCATTTCAAGTCCAATCACCATATGGGATTTAGTTCAATGCTGTTTATCTTTTTAGTATGGAGATTGTTTGTCCATTCTAATAGATTACTCCAGAAGGCAAATCACTGTTGCGTTGCATTTAGGAGATCTCTTTTTCCATACAGTATCATACTCTTAAAATATAACACATAGGCCTACATCTAAACTTCTAGTGATCAGTTTCACAACACCAAAATTGTTATGGTGGATTTTATACTGTAGTCTCCCATCTTTCCTGTTCAAGCTTGCAGAATTTGAGTAGGCTTATATGATAATGCATTTTGCCTGAAAGCATATACGTAGTGTTGCTCTCATTTGCTCATTCTCTAAATATGCCTCTGATAACCATCCATGTCCTAGATTTTAGCAGTACTTACAATGAATTCTATAATTATCACCCATATCAACATATAGCACACTAGATCTTATTGTTGCCTATATGAAATGAGGGCAGACCCGCAGGACCAACTTATGCTTAAGTGCTCTGCTCACAGCCATAAGGGTAATAAAGCAGGATTGGGACCTCAGGAATGGCCCGGTTTCTGTAACTAAGGATTGATCCATTAGCCTTCAGCTATATCCGAACATTATTCATGAATCTTTACATCATTAGCTGGCATGCAAAAATCAACTAAATATTCAGTGTCTAAAAAAAAAAGTGTGGCCTAGTAACTGAATTCCTCGCTGCGTGGTTGGCACAGAAAATTGACTAACAAGAAAAACCTTGGGGCAGTTTCTCACAGGAGCACTGTTCTTAAGAAGATTAGACAAATTGAGCCCGTTTTTAATAAAGAAAGCATTAAGTATGTCTCGCAATACACACAGGTGATCATTTCAGCCTTCACAATGGCATTCAATATAAACTAGATTATAGGTATTAAGGAAGATTTGGGTCAGTATGTCACTATTCAGTGTGTAAGTTTATATTCATTTTCCCTCTTATTGCATTTACTGTATGTTATGATATCAGATGATGCGTTCTTAGCACAAAAATAAAGCTTTTATGGTCTTACCTCCGCCAATCTCGCCTTAGGAATTGAAGTGATGTCATAGCTGACCCGTTTCCCATGCTAATGCTCACTCTAACAGATCAAACCTGTCTAGATATTCAACTTTAGCAGAGTCAGCACACAGGATCATTCTAGACTTATAATCTTCTAGCAGACAGCTGTAAGTGAAGTAAAAGATCTATCAGGCTGAACATTTTAAAGATTGTTCCTTTTGTCATTTAATACAGGATGGTTAACAGGCAACTGAACTCCAAGAACTCTGCCAGTGTCCACCGTTGGTGCGTCATCAAAACAAAAGCAAGCACAAATTGACGTTCATTGCATGAAACTTATTTGCTCTCATAGATAAAGAAAGAGAGAGGGCAGTTCATCTTCGTAACAGCTGCATGTGTTTTAAAGCAATGACACTGCATGAAACTAAAGTTGATTGCACAGCAGTTTTACAATTTGCATCCATGTATGCATACTTATCTGCAGGAATCAGCTTGTACTATCCTTTCTTCCTACTAATAATTGACTTGAACATTTCCTGGTGACAGCTACGTTAAGTGGTGTGGAGTGTCCCTATGACAAACAGTGCTGTATAGCGGTGTTGACATTAGAACCAATATTTTTGCATTAGATGAATCAACTACGGTCATGTGCGTGACATCTGCAATCTTTTAATCAGTTGTGCCGGCCTGTCCTGAGAAGCAGAGGAAAACCTACCGTATTTAGAAAACCTCTCCCTCATTTTGGGAAAAATTGGTTGTATGACATGAAATGAATGTGCAGTTCAACAGGTTTCTTCCCATTTGTCCTAGGATCTTGTCTTCTTTTGTTCTCTAAGCTGTGTAGGACTACAGTATATTGGCAGATGAATACAGCTGCTCTTTGGACTTGATTTTATGCCCAAAAAACAGTGAGAGATGTTCACCAGTGCTCATAGTTTTTATGCAATTTAGAGGCTGGGTTAGGAAATTAAATGAAATTGGTCAAATGAATATGAAATGAACCAACAGATTCTGTTTTGTTTGTGCACATCTCAT